CACGAAACGTGTGAGGGGTGTGCCGAAATTGATGGGGTGACGCATGCGCGGCGGCAGCCACTGGGGGGATCGGGGTGAAATCCCTTATGGGGCCACGAAGCGTGTGAGGGGTGTGCCGAATTGGGTGTGCGTGACGCATGCGGGCGGCAGCACTGGGGCCTTCGGCGGAGCTCCTATGGGGCCACGAAACGTGTGAGGGGTGTGCCGAATTGGGTGTGGGTGACGCATGCGGGCGGCAGCACTGGGGCCTTCGGCGGAGCTCCTATGGGGCCACGCAACGTGTGAGGGGTGTGCCGAATTGGGTGTGGGTGACGCATGCGGGCGGCAGCACTGAGGCCTTCGGCGGAGCTCCTATGGGGCACGAAACGTGTGAGGGGTGTGCCGAATTGGGTGTGGGTGACGCATGCGTGCGGCAGCACTGGGGCCTTCAGCGGAGCTCCTATGGGGCTACGAAACGCTGTACTGGGTGGGTGAAACGCAGGGAAGAGGGGGAGGAGGGAGGAGGAGGGGGAGGAGGAGGAGGAGGAGAGGAGGAAGGAGGAGGCGGGAACGCGGGGCACCGTCTCTTCAAAACGAGGACCCAACACCACAGGATGGTTGGGAAAAAACTTTGAACAGCATGTGAATGTTGCCTCTTGGGGCCCCCGTGGAGCCGTCTGTGAACCATCTTGGAGCGTCCGCGGGAGCGTTTTGGGCTGTCTGGACGACTTCGTGGAGCGCCTTGGCAGCGTGGTGGACATCTGGAGACAACCACGACTGTGTGGGAGTGACTTTCCGGCGACTCGGGAGCGACTCGGGGCTCTTGGAGCGCCTCCGGAGCACCTCTGGGCCCCCCGGTCCTCCCATGTGCTGTCGTGCCCCATCAGCACGGGGCCACCAGGCCTCGTAGACGGGATATCTATAGACCTATATACACACATATGCACCTCTAGATATAGAAATGTATACACACATTTACAAACATACATATATATGTGTAAATATACACATATATACACAGATCGAGAGAGAGAGAGAGGGGGACAAAAAAAACAAAAAAACGGAGACCAGAGACAGAGACAGACAGATAGAGAAGGAGATCGCTAAGGCTGGCACACGGGCACCGGGCGTACTGCCCGGCGCCCGAATTCGAGTCGCAGGCGACCGGCGCGGCAGGCCCTCGGGAGGCGCGGTCGGAGGCGCGGGCCCCGACTTCGGCCTTCCCGGTCGCCCCATGGGCGGGGTGTCCCAGGCCTGCGGCGGGTTGCTTCGTTCGATTCCGCCGCTTGCCCAGAGGCCTTCTGGTAGAGGGAAGAGAACTTATGCACATGCACCGATTCTGGCCAGGCCCATCCTGAGCCCAGGATCGGTGCATACGCCCTCCTACCTTGGCCAGGAAGGCATATGCACCGATCCTGGGTCAAGGATGGGCCTTGCCAGGATCAGTGCATGTGCATAGTTCTCTTCGCCCGATCTGGGTGGGGTCGCAGCAGGTGGGGTCGGAGCATCGCGCCGAATCGCCGATGCATCGGCGATGCATCGGCGATGCATCGGCGATGCATCGAGGACGTCGGCGACGCAGCGGCGACGTCGGCATGGAGAAAATCGGGCTCCACATCGAGCCGCACCGCCGCTGCATCGGCGACGCGGCGCAATCCTCTCCAACCCTATCAAGTCCGACCCCCCCTGGGAGGCGGCGTGTTCGGACCTCGAGGCCACAAAAGTGGATCCGGGATGAGACACTGCCCCCGGGGAGAGGGGTTGAGACCTCTGGGGCCCGCGGATTGACGAAACAAAATCCCTCGAACCTGTCGGCGTGTGTGAGCTGCTTGTCTGTTCGAGTCGTCGTCTTCGTCAGTCGTCGTCTCCGTCGTCCCCTCTGCCTGCACCCTCCTCCCCCTCAAGCTTGTTAGCGAGAGAAAAGTCTAGCAGTGTCGTGACTTCCCTTTGATCCCTCCCCCGTCGGGGGAGGGGGAGGGGGGGGGGTCGGATACGCATCCCCCCCTGTGAGTCCTGGTTGTTGGGCCTGAGAAAATACCAAGACAGGCCATGAGTGCCCCAAGAGGCCCCCGATACTGTCCAAGAGGATCAAACCATCGGTCCAAAACGCCTTGACGCCCTCCAGGGCGACCAGGAGGCCTCCAGGACGCCCCAAAAGCACTCCCGAGCGGGCCCCAACAAGTTGATTGATTTCTTATTGTTTTTTTGTTGTTTTTTAAGATTTGGGCGTTCTCGCCTGTTCCACTTCCCGCCGTTGCAAGACGGCGCAAGAGGCCCGAAAGATCGCCCCAAGATGGCCCACGAGGCCTCCAAGAGGGCCCCAAAACAGCCCAAGAGGACCCCAAGACAACCAAAAACGCCTCCATGACGACCCAAGAGGCCCCCAAAGCGGCTCCAAGAGTGTGCCCAGACGGCGAACCCGAACGGACATTTCGAGCCCTCGGCCCCGAGAGGCTCCCAGGAGGCCCCAAGAGGTTCCCAAGAGGCCACACGAGGCCTACTAGAGGTTCCCAGGAAGCCCGAAGAGGTCCCCAAGAGGTCCCCAAGAGGCTCCCAAGAGGCTCCCAAGAGGCTCCCAAGAGGCCCCAGGATTACTCCCCAGATGCCCCCGAGAGCCTTCTGGCGAGACCCCAAGAAGCATCTCTGAGGACTCGGCGTCGTCGTCGTCGTCGTCGTCGTCGTCGTCGTCGTCGTCGTCGTCGTCGTCGTCGTCGTCGTCGTCGTCGTCGTCGTCGTCGTCGTCGTCGTCGTCGTCGTCGTCGTCGTCGTCGTCGTCGTCGTCGTCGTCGTCGTCGTCGTCGTCGTCGTCGTCGTCGTCGTCGTCGTCGTCGTCGTCGTCGTCGTCGTCGTCGTCGTCGTCGTCGTCGTCGTCGTCGTCGTCGTCGTCGTCGTCGTCGTCGTCGTCGTCGTCGTCGTCGTCGTCGTCGTCGTCGTCGTCGTCGTCGTCGTCGTCGTCGTCGTCGTCGTCGTCGTCGTCGTCGTCTCCCTTCAGGGTCGGCGGCACGGGACGTAAGGCCTTCGCAATAGTAGCAATGAGCTCCAACACTGGATGAGACCTTCGAGACCCGCGAACTGGAAATGGCATCACTCTGGGTTTGGGGGCAATCGGACGACGCTGATGCAAGCTGCACACAAACATCCTGGCCAGGGTCCCAGGATCGGTGTACAGAATACCTGCCCCCCTGGCCAAACCAGGAGGGCGTACGCACCGATCATGGATTCAGGATGAGCTTGGCCAGGATCGGTGCACGTGCGTGCGCATGGTGCCCCTCCTCATAAGCAACGGGCCTCCCAGGGCCAAGGGGCCCTCCCTTTGGGGAAGACCATCTCCTTCGACGTCGCACTTGACCTGGGCCCAGCCTTTCACCCTGATCCGTGTCCTGACGGCCAGAGGGCAGGGAAACGCCCCCCGTTCCCTAAACAGCTTCTCTGAAATGGTGTCTCTTGCTGTATTGTTGTTCTCTCTAGTTCTCTCTCTCTCTCTCTCTTGTTTGTTTCTCACTCTCTCTCTCTCTCTCTCTCGCTGTCTCCCCCTCCCCCCCTACCCCCCGCGTGCGTATGCTATGCATATGTTTATACGCATGCGCGTGCATGTCTTAAAAGGCGAGGATTGCATTCCGCATGTCCACATGGTCTCCCCAATGGTCTCCCACACGGTATCCCGTACGATCTCCAATATGGTCTCCCGCCTGATCTCCCGCATGGTCTCCCGTATGGTCTCCGGCATCCTTTCCCGTGTGGTCACCCGTGGGCTCTTCCGCATTGTCTCCCGTATGCTTTGTGGATGCCGCGACATTGGACACCCTAACAGTCCTATCATTGGATTAAACATGTGTTTAAACAGTTGGCTTAAACCATGCGTTAGACATCTGGAAATGATTTGGCGACATGCTTCCTCTCCATCGATCGTCGTCCACAACGTATGATCTCCTATACGTTCTGCGGGGCCCTATTAAAAGCCGGCGACCCAAGCGGCCAAGCGAGGGCGGCAAGGGACAGGGGTCGGCAGGGGGTTCGGGAGAGGAAGCCAGACCTGCAGCCTGACGAGCCCTCACTGCTTCACCCTCGCACGACTCCTCCCTGCACCCCCACGGAGTCGAACTCCGCACGGCGGGAATCCGAGCACTCAGCAAAACGCACGAATTCGGCCGAACGAAGCGATGGTTTCGCGTATGGTCTCCCGTATGGCCGCAAGCATGGTCTCCGTGTCGTATTCCCGCTTGGCCATCCGCATGGTATTCGGTATTGTTTCCCGCATGGTCTTCCGTCTGATCTCTCGTATGGTATCTCGCATGTTCTCCCGTACGGTCTCCCGCGTTGTCTCACACATTGTATCCCGTATCGTCTCGAACATGGTGCGCCGTATAGTCTCCCGTGTGATCTCTCGTATGGTCTCCCGTATTGCTTCCCGTGCTGTCACCCGTGGGGTCTCCCGTATGATCGCCCACATGATCTCCCGCATGATCTCCCGAGTTGCATCCCGCATGGTGTTCCGAGTGGTGTCCCGTACAGTCTCCCGAGTGGTCTCGCGCATGGTCTACAGGATGGTGTCCAAGATAGTCTCCCGTACGGTGTCCCATATTGTCTACCGAACGGTCCCCCGTATTACCATGTAGTTCCCCACATGCTCAGTGAGTTCTTCTTGTCTTCCCACCCGCGACGTACCCGCGTCTCTTCTCCTCCTCCTCCTCGGCGCACCCTCCCCAACCCGCACCCACCCGCGGCGCACCCGAGACACACGTGCAGATACAGCCGCACACGCATCATTCACATGACGCGCATACCACACAACACATGCGCGCAAGATTCGCAAGGCGCGGCAAGCGTGGCACTTTCTCGACACCAGAAGGGGGTCCGCAAGGGGTGGTCCCTCACCACGGTCTCTATCCGTCTCAGGGTCGCAAGGCGTGGCAGGCGTGGCACTTTCTTGACATCATAGAAAAAACGCAGAGGGTGGTCCCTCACCGTGGTCTCTATCCGTTTCAGGGACGCAAGGCGTTGCAGGCGTGGCTGGCACTTTCTCGACACCATGGGGGGCGCGCAGCGGGTGGTCCCTCACCGCGGCTTCTATCCGTCCAAGGGTCGCGGGGCGTGGCAGGCGTTGCACTTTCTCGACACCAGAGAGGGTGCGCAGGCGGTGGTCCCTCACCGCGGTCTCTATACGCCTCAGGGTCGCAAGGCGTCGCAGGCGTGGCACTCTCTCGACAACACAGAGGGTGCGCAGGGGGCGGTCCCTCACCGCGGTCTCTATCCGTCCCAGGGTCGTGGGGCGTGGCAGACGTAGCACTTTCTCGACACCAGAGGGTGTGCGCAGGCGGTGGTCCCTCACCGCGGTCTCTGTCCGTCCCACGGTCGCGTGGAGTGGCAGGCGTGGCACTTTCTCGACACCAGAGAGGGTGCGCAGGGGGTGGTCCCTCACCGCGGTCTCTCTCCGTCCCAGGGTCGCGGGGCGTGGCAGGCATGGTACTTTCTCGACACCAGAGGGGGTGCGCAGGGGGGGGTCATTCACCGCGGTCTCTATCCGTCCCAGGGTCGCGGGGCGTGGCAGGCGTGGTACATTCTCGACACCAGAGGGGGTGCGCATGAGGGCAGGTCTTGCTGTTGCATTCCATCAGTTGCACTAGCAGGGGTTTGCGCAACATCTAGATCTGTAACCACTTTGGCTCAAGCCGGCTCGGAGCGCCAGGGTACCCAATCGGAGGTCGCAGTTGCTTGTTGCTTGGTGCGCACATACCGTAGAAAAGGCATGTGGGGGTCCTCGGTAAGGTAATCTCGCGTATGTCACGTGGTCTCCCATATGGTCACCCGAATGGTCTCCCGTAGAATCTCCTGTGTGGTCTTCCCCACGGGTATTCCGCATGGTCCCCCGTATTACCCCTTGACGGTCTCCCGTGTGGTCTCCCGACTTGAATCTGACCTCCCGCACGGTCTCCAGCATGGCTCCCCGAATGACCTCCCGCACGGTCCCCGGCACGGTCCGCCGGATGGCCTCCCGCATGGTCTCCCATATGGTCTCCCGCATGGCCTCTTGCAGCTTAGCACTCGCTGCATTGCTCTGCATCGTACCCTTCACTCTTTGGAGCACCACCCACGGGTGGTCTCTCTCCCCTGCGAACTTCAGAGCGTACGGTTAGGAGCCTCTGCCGCAAGGGCTGTGCTATTTGAATGGCGACGCCAAGATGCGAAGGGCCTGGCGGCGCGCACGAAGGGGGATATCTCGAAGCGGCCGCCGTCCAAGAGGGCGGGGGGGATTTTTAGAAGCCCCCCGCAGCTCCCACGAATCTTGTTCTGCTCCGTCGGCGGTGAGGCAGAGGAGCTGCTCCCGCGGGCGGCGAGTCGGGGCGACCGATACGCGAACTGGCAGGCGTGCCAGAGGGGGAATGAGGGAACAGGGGCGGCCGCGGAGCACAGGAGGATGAGAAGAGCACTCTCAGACGCGGAAGGCTTCCGCGTCGGGTGGGCCGGTGCGGAGCTCCCACGGAACATGCGAGCCCCATGGGCCCTTCCAGGAAGGCCCATGCCTTCCGAGGAGCCGCCCGCCCTCTGAAGAGGCCTGTCAGCTGGGGCCCGAGCAGATGGGGTCCGAGGATCGCGCCACTCTACGTCGCCAGTGCATCGGCGCCGTCGGCGTGGTTCAAATCGGGCTCCACGTCGAGCCGCATCGCCGATGCATCGGCGATGCGGCGAGACCCTTCCACCATCTGCTGCGATCTCAATTGGGAGGCCCGGATCCTGATTTGGCCACATCACCCCCTTGTGCGCGCAGCCACGGGTCGGAAGCCTGGGGAACAGTCGGAGCAAGGCGAATTGAGACAACGGCAGCTCAAAATCCGCCGACCCTGTCGGCGGGGGGGAGGTCCTGGGGGGGGGGTCAATCGGTCCAAGAGGCAAAACATGGGCTCCTGACAGCCCAAGAGGCTTCCAAGACCCTCGAATAGGCCTCCAAGAGAACACCCAAAGGGCCGCAACATGCAAAAATCCGCCGACCCTGTCGGCGTGTGTGAGGGGCTGGTCCGTTCAAGTCGTCATCTCCGTCATTCGTTGGTCGTCATCTCTGTCGTCCCCTTTCCTTGCCTTCCCCCCTTTCCCTGGGCTCGTCGAAGCTCCCCCTTTCCCAGGGACCTCCTCAGCGCGCCAGCCAAACCGAAAATAAGCAACGTCGTAATTGAGTCGAAGGGAAGCCCCTTCCCTTCGATCCCTCCCCCGCCGGGGGGGGGGACGGGTCCCGGGGGAGGGGGGGGTGTCAGACGCCCCTGGGGGGGGGTCAGATGCTACGCCCCTCCTAGGAGTCCCGGAGCCAAAAAAAGCCCCAAGACGGGCCAAGAGTGCCCAAAGAGGCCCCAAAGACAATCCAAGAGAACCCCGAATCGCCGAACGATCTGTCCAAGACGCCTTGACGGGCCCCAGACGGCCAAGAGGCCTGCAAAGCGCCCCCAAGAGGCCTCCAGGAGCTTTCTCTCGAGAGCCCCAAGAGGCAAAAATCATGGATGTTCCATACGTTTTTGAAAGATTTTGGCGTTCTTGCCTCTTCCGCTTCCCGACGCGCCAAGACGGCCCAAGAGGCCTCCAAGATCGCCCCGAGACGGCCCAAGAGGCCCCCAAGAGGGTCCCCTAACGGCCGAAGAGGGCCCCAAGACGGCCCAAGACGCCTCCAAGACGGCCCAAGAGGCCCCCAAGAAGGCTCCAGGAGAGTGCCCGGACGGGGGACCCGAACGGACATTTCGAGCTCTCAGCCCCACGAGGCCCCCAAGAGGCCCCGAAGAAGCCCCAGGAGGCCCCAAGAGGGTCCCAAGGGGCCCCCAAACTGCCCCAAGACAGCCCAGGAGAGCCCCAAATTGCCCAGGAGGCCTCCAAGAGTGCCTCGAGACGGCGCTAGAGGAGCCCTGGACGGCCCAAGACGGCCTCAGGAGAGCCACAGGCTGACCCAAGAAAGCCTCTGGCCTCCTCGTCCTCCTCCTCCTCCTCCTCCTCCTCCTCCTCCTCCTCCTCCTCCTCCTCCTCCTCCTCCTCCTCCTCCTCCTCCTCCTCCTCCTCCCCCCCCTCTGCTCCCCCTCCTCCTGCTCTCCTCTGCCTCCTTTTCCTCCTCTTGCTTCTCCTCCACATCATTGTCCCCCCTCCTCCTCTCTCATCCACCTCCTCCACCCTGCCCCCCCCTCGTTTTCATATTCGTCGCTCTCAGGGTCGGCGGCAACGGCCGTAAGGCCTTCGCAATACATGATCTGCTTCTGCTTTTCTGCCGAAGTCTGGCCTCTCGCCGTTTCGACTTCCCGACGCTCCAATACTGCCCAAAATGCCACCAAGATCGACACAAAAGGCTCCCAAGAAATTTCCAAAACGGCCCCAGCCCAAAAACTGCCCTGGAGGCCTCCCACCCGGCCCAGGAGGTCCCCAAAACGGCTCCAAGAGGTTGTCCACACTGGAGCCCGAACGAACATTTCGAGCCCTCGGCCCCGAGAAGCTCCCAGGAGGCTCCCAAGAGGCCCCCACGAGGCCCCAAGAGGTCCCCAAGAGGCCCCCAGGAAGCCCGAAGGTACCCCCAAGAGGCTCCCAAGGAGGCCTACAACTGCCTCCCCCAGGAGGCCCACGAGCGCGCTCCGAAAATGCCCCACGAGGCATCACTGAGGACTCTGCCCCACGTCAGCGTCGTCGTCCCGACGCTGCCACCGCGGTCGTCGTCCCCCTTCAGGGTCGGCGGCGCCAAGCGCTTCCAGGCGCTACCCTAGGAGGCAACTACTGGGAAGGTTTCGTCGGAAGGAGTGAGGAGGATTAAGGCCCATTGGGGGGCTGTTACGCCAGAGTGGGCCCCGGATCAAGCGGGATTAAGCCGGATTAAGCGGGAGTAAACAGGATTAAGCCGGATTAAACGGGATTAAGCCGGATTAAGCCGGATTAAGCCGGATTTCGGACACGGGCTAAATCAGAATTTGACCTCCCAGGAGTTGCATCCGAAGCTACCCGAGCGCTCCCAGGCGCTTCCCGAGCGCTCCCATGGAGCTCCCAGGCGCCCCCAGGCGCCCCCACGAGCTCCCAGGCGCTCCCAGGCGCTCCCAGGCGCCTCCCGGGCGCCTCCCAGGCGCTTCCCGGACGCTCCCGAGCGCTTCCCAGGCGCTCCCAGGCGCTCCCAAGCGCTCCCAGGCGCTCCGAAGCGCTTCCGAGGTGCTACCCGAGCGCCCCAAGGCGCGTCCAAGGCGCTCCCATGGAGCTCTCCCAAGCCGGTTCCCAAACCTCTCCCAGGCTCCGAACACCATTCCCAGCTGCATCCAGCCGTGCGTGGCGACGAGGACCCTCCACGAAGGCCAACCGCCCTCCTCTGAAACAGGCAGAGGCCCCATTCTGAAGGAAAGACAACCAGGACCATGACCAGGACCGAACGCTGAAACGTCGGTGCTGATCTTGGTCATCGTACATATTGGTCATCATCAATTCGTGGATAATCCCCGAGGCTCGGCGACGGCTGGCAAGAATAATGACCAAGATCGGCGTCGACAAAATCCCACGACATCTTTTGGAAAACCCAAAAGCACCGATTCCGCTACTCTGGGGGGCAACGATACGGGGGACTGGCATAGGGGCTGATGCATCGACCTGGAATCGGCGATACATCGCCGATGGATCGGCGATAAGTCCCCGATAGTGAATCCGCACCTTCCTGGGCGGGTTGGGGCTATCAGACCCCTATCGGCGATCAATGGGCTATTGGGGGTCAATGCATCCCCCCTATTCCTACCCCCCATCGTTGCCCCTGATACTCCCTGGACCTCTCCCGGGGTGCGTCCTGACCAGATTTCGAGGCAAATCCAGCGGTGGCGAAAGGGAAAACGAGGAGAGGCTAGCGGTACGGGTACCTTTTTCTAGAGGCCTCCCAGATGGGGTCGGAGTGGGTGGGGTCGGAAGACCGCGCCGCTTCGCCGATGCATCGGCGATGCATCGGCGATGCACTGGCGATGTCGGCGATGCATCGGCGACGTCGGCCAGGAGACAATCGGGCTCCACATCGAGCCGCATCGCCGATGCCTCGGCAATGCGGCGCGATCCTCCGACCGCTTCTACTCCGACCCCACCTGGGCGACGATTCAAAACCGGTCTTACGCGAGATGGCACAGCGGCCTCACGCCGCGTCTTACGCGGGCCGCCAGCGCGGCACGCTACACTGGAGACGAGGACGCTCACGCGCCACCTTGCGCGGGCAGCTTACGCCTCAAAGTCGACGACGACGACCCCGTATCTGCTGCGTCGCTGGCCCGGGAGTTGAGCAGGGACCGACCGTCCCGGCATTCCTATAGTCATACCACGAAATGTTCTTAGAACCCAACAATGTTCTGAGAACAAAAACAGTGTTCTTAGAACAGAATCCCGATGTGCTAAAACAAGCCAGTCCCAGCCAGAAACGTTCTGAGAACATCTCGTGGGAACCACAACAATAGTTCTTAGAACACTGTTTGGTGGGGCTCTAGGCGCGCCGGGACGCTTCGCCGCTGCTCGAGGGAGGTTGGGCGCCCGAGTTATCCGGGGTAACTCGGGTCCGGGGTAACTCGGGTTTGGATTCCCGAAAAAGGAAACCGAGTTAGCCCTGACCCGAATTACCCCTGATGATTCGGGGCCCTGGACGCCCGAAATATCCGGGGTAACTCGGGTCCGGGATAACTCGGGTTCGGAATCCCGAAAAACGAACCCGAGTTAGCCCTGACCCGAGTTGCCCCTGATGATTCGGGGCTCTGAGGAGGCCCAGCACCTCTCCTCCCCGGAGCCTCGGCTGGGACCACTGGCAGCTCCTCCCTCCCGGGTCGGGGCCCGCGCCCCCGCCACCCCCGGCGGGCGGGGGGAGCGCGGCGGCGCTGCCCGCTCTCGGCGGCCCGCGGCAGGCCCGGGTGGGGGGGGCTGCGGGGGCCGCCGGCTAGCCTGTGGGTGGGGCCTCCCAGAGGGGGGGGGGTCCGAGCAGAGGGGAGTCGGAGGATCGCGCCGCATCGGCGACGTCGGCGATGCACCGACGCCGTCGACGTGGAGAGACAAGAGGGGCTGCGCATCGAGGCGCCGCGGCGCTGCATCGGCGATGCGGCGCGACCCTCCGACTCCATCTGCTCGGACCCCCTCTGGGAGGCCTGGGCTCTGGAAGGGAGGGGGGGGGCAGGTAGAGATGGGACGCAGAAGGCCATCCACTGTGTGCTGATGTTGGAGGCGCACCTCCGGCGCATACATACCGTCGGAGCTAGACCGAAGCCTGCGCAGACGAAGTGAGTTCAAGAACATGCACGCGCCATCAGAAACGACGCGCCGTGCCGCTGTGGCACGGAGTGGCGTGCCACCAGGTCCTTTGCCGAACCCGTTCAGCCAGACCCCAAAATCTCACATCTGCCGAAGCTTCCCACGTGCCTCCTGGGCCCCTGTGGCGGCTTCCCGACTGAACATGTCGGGGTCAAGAGGGCCACGAGACGAGCCAAGAGGGCCCCAAGAGGCCGCACAGGCGGTCCAAAAGGCCCCAAATCGCCGCACGATCGATCCAACACGACCAAGATGGCCCAAGACGGCCCAAGAAGCCTGCGAGGCGCCCAAAAGCCTTCCCTAGAAGGCCCCGAGATGCCAAAATCCGCGATTTTCCTTTCAAGTGTTTCAATGTGCTTGGGGTCCTCGGCTGTTTCAGTTCCCGACGCTCTACGACGACGGAGGCCCCCAAGACCGCCGCACCCAGACGGCCCAAAACGCCCCCAAGAGGGCCCCAAGACGGCCCAAGAGGGCTCCAGGACAGCCCCAGTGGCGCCTCAGACGGCCCACGAGGGCCCAAAAAAGGGCCCAAGAGGTGGAGCACAAACCGAAAATCAGAGCCTTCCGCCCCAAGTGGCCTTAGGGAGCTCCGAGGAGGCCCCAAGAAGCCCTAAAGAGGACCAAAGAGACCCCCAACACCCACGAGTCCCACGAGGCCCCAAAGGCTCCAAAACAGCGCCCAAAAGGCATCAAAACGGCACCCAAATAGGCCCCCGAGAGCCGAGAGGACTCCCGCGACAACCCAACGAACACCCTTGAGGCCTAGGCGGCGGGATGGGCCGAATGGCATCAGATAGCACGCACATCCTCAGGAATGCCATTTCCCGACCGGCATGGCCAGAAAACGCCCGCCACTGAGCTTACACCGCAGGATCGTTCAGCGTGCGCGTCGCCCTAGCGGGGCCGACGCACACATAGCATAAACATGTTTGGGTGGAACCGAAGAGCAGGTAAACCAGGGGTGTTCGCGCACGGTACTACGTGCCATCCTACCCCTCCCACCAATATTTTCCCATGGCGCTGTTCTCTTCTCTGCCAGCCGACGGGCGCCATAGCAGACTTAGAACCCCTTTGCAAGGACCCCACCGTGCCATGCGCCATCGGACAAAAAGGGGATTTGCGCACACTGGTGAAGGAGATTGCGGGTGAGCAGGAGCGGGAGCAGGAGGAAGCCGAGGAGGACGAGGAAGCAGGAGAGGAGGAAAAGGACACGAGAGGGGACAGGAGGCAGGAGGGATGGGGGAGAGCCAGACAAGGAGGGGGACGAAGACGAGCAGGAGGTCTCTCGTGAAGGGCGGAGCGGCTTCTGCTGCCCCTCGGCCATAGCGCTGGAAAACGCCCACTAGCTGCCACGGAAGTCCGCGCGACGGCCGCCGGCTACCCGTGGGAGGAGGAGGAGGAGGAGGAGGAGGAGGAGGAGGAGGAGGGGGAGGAGGAGGAGCGCAACGCCTCAGGAAGGTCTCCCGCCGCGCACGCGGGCGCGCGACGGACTACCCCCTGGCGCCGCCTACTCACGGTGCGGCGCCGCAAGAGCAGGAGGCAATGTAGAAGGAGAGCAACTTGAAGAAGTCGCTCTCAAGGCCGTGGACGCAGGCCAACTTGCCGCCAACGAAGAAGGCGTCGCCACCGAAGAAGACGCCGTGCCACCAGCCGACCACGGAAAGGCAGCGAATCACGACATGGTCGATCAACGCGCCGCGTGGCTGCAAGAAGAGCCCCCGTGCGGGGGCGGCGCAGCTGGGGTACGTCGGGCACGAGGCGCCAGGCCCCTCTCGACGCGCCTGATCGCATCTTGCTGGTTGCGGCGCGTGGACTCGTTGGGCGAGAGCCCATCGCACTAGCACCTCAAGCCAAGCTTCCGCACTGTGCGGACATCCCCCGCAGCACAGTGAGACCCGCAGCGCCTGCAACAGTAAACATTGTTACCCCTGAACACGTCGTGCCCAAGCGCGGCGAAGGCGTCCCCGACCTCCTCGGCCAGGGCAGGCGGCAACAAGGCTGCGAGGGCCGAGGGCTGTGAGCTCCCTTCGAGCGCCAAGGCCGCGCCCAGGGCCATGCCAGCCCTCTGGTCGCTGCAGAGAACCCAGCCCTCGCCGAAGGCGCGGAAGTACTCGGCGATGCTCTGGCAACACGCGAAGGGCGACATACACGATGAGAGCCAGCTTGCAGCGACTCGAGGGAGGAGCCCGTTGTGGCCGTGACCCCGCGGTGGGTACATCGGTACCGCCCGAGGCTGGCGCAGTAAGCAAGGACATGATCCGTACTGCGTGCCACCACAGTGGGCCTGGCCTGCTCGCAAGATGGCCCGGGGACCTCCACGTCGCATCCCCTGTGTTTGCGAGCCACCACCTGCAGTGCCGCCCACGAAATGAACTGCAGGACCTTGCGGTGCCGTTTCAGCGCAGCTGTTACCGCCTCAGCCACCGACACGGCCAGCGCGTGAGAGGCCGCACCACAGCGCGCGAAGTAGTCTGCCCAGCCGTTGCCTACTCCAGATTTCGTAATAAAAGGGACGGGGTCTGGACCCTCCAAGACAAGCTATTTCAGACCTCCCCCGTGGGAGAACCCTCCAAAACATCGTCCCCAGACCCCCCGGGCCCTCCAAGATAGCCTGGAAGAGACCCCCCCCGAAATGAGACCCCCCTCCCTTTATCACGAAATCTGGAGTAGCCAGTCACGCAGCTCCTGCGGCTCTGTGCCCATAAGCTCCTCTAAGGACCTGTGCGCTGGCGTCCATCGGAACTTGGGAGGGTCCCGCAGAGTGCGCCTGCGGCTGGCCACGAAGATGTCCCGCCACGCTCGAGCATGCTTGGCACGACCCTGCTCGAGCTCGGGACACCAACGCTCTCCTTCCTGGGCGAGCGCCAGCAGGTCAGTGACGAAGCACTGGCGCCCCGCCGCCCGTGGAGGGCGTGCTGCAGGAGGAGGAGGAGGAGGAGGAGGAGGAGGAGGAGGAGGAGGAGGAAGAGGAGAAGGAGGAGGAGGAGGAGGGAGGAGGAGGAGGAGGAGGAGGAGGGGGGAGGGGGGCGGGGCGGGGCAGGGCAGCGCGCTGCCGCACGCGCTTCCCGCTGTCGCCCGGTGGGCCGCCGGCGGGGCAGAGGCTGGCCCTGGCCGCGAGCAGAACCGGCATGCCACCCGCCGCCCAGGGAGGCGTTCCCAGAGGCGCTCGAGTCCCAGCCGCCCCCGAAAAAGGTCGCCAGGGAGCCACACGCTGGCCGTCGCTCGGAGGTCCATTTTCCCGTGCACGTTTCGGTTTCGTGCGTGTGTGTGTTTTGTTGCTAGATAGTCCAGGATGGTCCTCGATGGCTCTCGCCGAAAAAAAATGCACACGTCCGAGCGATGCCGAGTGCGGGGAGCATGTGCCCACGAGCGCCGCGCGCTCCAGGATGAGGAAGTGATGTGCCAGCCCTGTTGGCAGTGACCCTCCCTTCCTGGAAAGGCTGAGATATAATCGTGCGTGGTGGTCCTTCGCCGTGCCGTCGCCCGTTCCGCATGCAGGGCGCGAAGATACTTGCCCCCTCTCAGTAACGAAGGCTGGACCAGCCATGTTGGGCTCTCCGATTGCTGTTGCGTTTGAGTTGCACAGCCGACCCCGCGGCCAGGGAGTGACCGTTCACCTCTCGAGGACCTCCCAGCCGCGCTTGCACTGAATGCACTGTCCTCGCGCATCTATGCTTGCTGCTGCCATCCTGCTGCTGCAGTTCAAAGTTCAGCCCGCAGGGCTCATTTTCTGTGCCCGTGCTGGCCACCTCCCCCTCCCTC